AAACATGCTAGCTCCCTAGAACAACAGATAGCACTGAATAAGTTGCGTTGGCTCGGGCACGTGCTACGTATGCCTGGTCATCGCTTACCTAGGAGGGCCTCGTTTAGTCTGCCAGGTGTAGGATGGCGCAAGGCTCGAGGTGGACATCATCTGTTTGCATCGGAATATGAAGTCACTGACGACCAAACTGGATGCTGTTGGTCTGTCTCGCTTTCCGGGCTGGAGTCCACGTGACTCGGCTTGTGCTTGGCTCGAGACTTTACAGGACATGGCTCGCAACCGACACCAGTGGCGCGTCTGCTGCCGTCTCCTAATCGGATTGCCTGTTTAAAGTGTGTTTGGTACTGAGTTATCTGCGGGGTAATGGCTGATTATGACGCGTGGCAGTGAAAGCCGCAAGGAAGCTGTCTCGCCGATGCCGCCTTATCTTTGCACGATAGCCAGCTGTTTGTGACGGTATGTTGTCTACAAAAGTTGCAGGCGCCTTGATCCTGAATGTTTGCTTATGGCATTAAGGTTTTCTGGTAAGTCCCCCTTCTCTCCCTCTTATTATTCTTTATTTCATATGTCATCATGTTTGTATGGCAGCGGTGCATCAGTTCACATAACTGATGTACTACTGTTGCTGTTGTTTGTTGTTAATCCAAAAGTGTAGACTGAGGTAGAAAATAACCAGTTAAGATACAAATGTCACTGTCGGTCGACATAACTAATGTAACATCAACGGGTTTGTCATCTTTTGCGGAAATCATACACTCCATGCCTTAGTATGTTAACTCTTCGAAAATTGTCAAGAGATCATTTACAATTTACTAATCCTAATGAATTCCCAATCCGTATCTGTATTTCTTGTGGAATGGAATCTGTTTACATTCAAGTCATTTAATTCTTACGAGAAGTGTGAAGCAATATGAAGAAAGTTTATTGAATTCAATAATTTTACACTAATTCGGACATCAATGTATATGGGCTGGTAGCTAATAACATAAGTAAGCAAGAACCAAATTGGCGTGTATAACACAATCAAGTGCATGGCAACCTGATTGCTTGTTTCAGTTGTTTCTAAACGCAGGGCACTGGACGATTCATCCTTGTCAGTAATGCCTCGCTGATTGCCAATGGTTTACATTTTCTACTACGCTATTATACTTTAACGGGGGCTGATCGGGTCCATTGGGTGATGAATCATCGTAAGCAGGTTAGCGATAGGTAAGGTGGGGTTTCTGTTCATCGCTTGATTCGCTCCACCTTGTTACCTCAACGATTGCCTTACCCACTTTGCTGAGTGTTCAGCTACCGTTTGAGACATTCGACTATCAGTCCTGCCTATGTGTGTGTCAGCGCAACTGGTAAATAATGTGAGGCCGAACTGTCTATCGAGCTACTCTAATGGTTGTCGAGAACAATCTTTGGTGTGGTGTGGACGACTCGCAACCGAACGTTCATTTAGGTGCGTGTTAGAACGGATCTCCTTTACGACATGATCGCCTCCGAACTGCGGGAACAAATAATTATCCTTCTTTTCCGCTGATCGCACTGGTGCTTTTTTCTTCGGAGGTCTGCTGTGGACTCTGTATAACTCCGTGTGTTTCTTGCCTCTACTGCGTTGCAACTGAAGAAAACAGTTGAGGTGTTAACGTTTCGCCATCCATCTCTTCTCCCTGTGTTAATGGCGTCTTGCCTGTGTTGATGATGAGCCCGGATTTAGTCGCTGTCGAAGCAAAAACCGTAGTATGTGCTGCAGCTTATCAGCACTGTGTGTAAACAATGGACAGTCGCCGACAAACAACGACATCCGGATGGCTGTTTCACACACTAGTGTTCTCGCTTCGAATCGACAGTTGTTCATTAACCCACCATCAATACTATGTTCCAAACGGACACTAATCATAAGCGGCATCAAAAACAAGACGCCATCACATGAAGGTAATTATTAAACAGGGTCAGGGTTAAGACAGCCTTGCTTCACCCCAGAGGCAACCTCAGTCATTCGAGCTTAGTTCATGGAGCTGCACCCTGGTCCACATACCACTTAGCGGACATTCAAATAAATATAAAAATTTACTCGGACAACCACAGTGCCTCGCGGTCCAGTGCGTCAAATGCCTTAGTACAGTGGTAACACAAAACATCTTTAAAGTCAGCTGACACCTCTTCTCCAAACCACACGCTTTGCACCAAGTGATGCAGCTCATGCATCAAATCCGGTCCGCCGTGTTACAACACTACTGGCGGTATCCCGTCGGAACAGGCACGCTTGCCATTTCGCAACTGGATAAGTGTTCTCTGCGTCTAATCCAGTGTCGGTTTGTCGGCAAGGCATGTCTTCATCCGTTATTGTTGCAGCTCGTGCAACATAGTCCACTCAATCTCTTAGTGGTTGTTTAAGAGACAGTCAAAGTGCTTTTGCCAGTTGTGCATTATGCCTGCAACCTGCAAGGATTTAAAGAATTCCTTATGTTGACGGTGTTTGGTATAGCATTCCATCTGCCCTACCTTCTCCGTCCACTATGTATTCTTGATGCGACGGAGCTCTTAAGTCAATCGTCTTCGTTTGCAAAAGTGACGCTTCTTCGCTACATCGGCAGGGTCATCCACATGCTCAGCAGACCCTTCATTCTTCACCAACGCTAATGCATCAATGGTCGCGTTGTTTCATCAAACCAATCAGGCCGCTAATAGTTCGCGGGTCCGGATTGTCTCCTCGGCCACGGCCGTCAACTGTTCACGGATGTGGTGTCACAGCTCCCTAACTGAGACGATGGATTCGACATCGCCAGTGCGGGTAGCCCTCACATTCTCCATTACCGTTCTCTTCTCGATAGTATCTAAAGAACAAAAATTAGATTTGCGCCGCTGATTCACAGCAAATGAGCAATACATAGTTTTACGTAAATGTATGTACAATTTGGTCCGCACCAACCCGTGATCAGTGCCACACTCATTTCCACGCTGTACAGGTGTCTTGCGCACTTACTGCATGTCAGTATGGTGTACGATAACATAGTCGATCAGGTGCGCGTGACCACTCCGTGGTTGCGTCCAAATAACTATATCACTCGCACCCAATGCAAACCGGGGTGTTCTTGATCGTCCGGCCGTGGGTGGAACACATTGAGAGCAGCCGGTTATCGTTCCTTTTGGCTAATACAATACCATTCGGACCGATTAAACCCTTCCACACTGCGGCATCACGCCCGACGTGCGTTGAAATCACCCAGTAGAAAGAGCCAGTCGCTCCTCGGCACAGATCGTGTCACGATAGCTGAGTGGAGAGTTGCTCACACGTGTCATCAGGCTAACACACGTACATGCTTATAAAAGTGGCAAACGTACCTCTTCCGAGTCATAGGCAAATAGTCATTAGTCACCCGTTGATGCCAGTTAGGTCACCCACGAGCTGGCCACGGAAGCGATCGGATGTTGCAAATCCGACCCCATGTTCACGTGGTGCTGTGGTGGCGTTGCCCATCCAGTACAATGTGTAGGCAGCGTCTGCTTCATGCAACTTACTTTGCTCAGCGAGCCGGGTCTCACTGAGCGTCGCAATATTGATGTTATAGCACGTCAATTCCATCGCGAGCAGTGCAATGCGTCGCTCAGTGCGTTCCGGTCCAGTCGGTAGCCATTATGCTTCCTATTGTTCTCACAAGGTTCAATGAACTAATGCGAATACTGTTTTTGTGCAGTCTTTGAACAGTGGTGACATGCCTGATCTTTCGGTGACTTGTGCTAAAAGTTTCACTGCATGTGATGTCGGCTGCTAATCACCTCCCTTATGCGACCATTTCTGTGTTCCATCTATCGCTAGATGGCGATGGAGGAGTGTTTTCGGGCTCTTGCGCACTGCTTCTCTTCAGCGGAAAAAATCCACTTTGTATCATTTCCTTAGTGCAGCTTGGGTCATTGAAATCGTTGGAGTTAACATTCTAGTCTTACTTGATCCCTGTTTATCAGCACATGTAGCTAAAGTGTGAAATAGTAGTCAGATGAGGCGATCTTATGATGTCATTGGTAACCGCAAACTTATTAGCTAAATAAATGTGTATTCTCGATGTTACACGTGTCACGCCAAGGAAGGCATGGTCAGTTTTGTACAATCGGTTTTATTTCCTGCCTAATAGATGCCGCTGCATTTGGATTCATATCGGTATGTATGTCAGTTTATTATTTTGAACCAACACTGTTAAGGCCACTTCTCATACCATTGATCTTGGTTTATGGTAGTTAAGTAACTGCATATCCCGGTTTTGGAGATTGGAACAACCGGAAAATGATTTCATTTCGTTTATGTGCATTATCACAAGCTGAGTATTGCCGAGGTACCTTAGCTGAAGTAAACTGCTTCCAGTATGTCAGGATCGACCAGTCCCACATGCTTATTGACCACTTTGGACTCACTTAGTGCCTGTACCGGGAGGAGGTAGTACGAATTCAAAACGTTCCTAGATTTTGTAGTTTCTTTCTTTGATGCAAAAGCGTCAGCAGTATGCCGACGCGTCGGATCGATGCTTCGCTGCCACCCGATCACTACTGGCGTACGTGAGCCACTGATACTACTTAGTCGCACACACGCATGCATTTCCTCCCTTTCAGGAGCTCTCCCTAACTGCAAGTTCCGTGGTCCACAGGATCTACTTACCAGTGCAACCGTGCGAATCATCTACTTGAAACAACGGTATTCGTTATCTTACTAGACTTCTTTACGCGCTTGTCCAAAATATTTAAGCATGCAGACGAAATCACGTTGCCGATTACCGTCACACCTTATAACTCTCCCGTTGGATCTGTAGTTTGTTATTTCCAGTTCTCATGAGTAAACAGCAGCTAACCCCTCGATCCTGTTGTTGTGTATTCTTGTTGACTACTTTGGCGATAACCTGTTGTGTATGCTTCCCGAATATTGTTGATTTGTGTTATGTGATCTCGAGTTCATCGAAAATTTCGCACTCTATATTTTTAACTTGATCATATCATCCCATTCGCTCCTCATACCTTAGCATTGGATCTGTAGGACAGGATACCATGTTTTGCTTGTGGGATCTTACTGAAGACGTCATTCGCCAGGGGGTCCTGTTCATCCGTGAATCCGCTCTGTCACTTGCTTTGGAGTCGCACAGCAACTCTTGCAAAACGGAATCATCAAATGCAGCTGCCGCTTTCTCGAATGACGCCACTGGTCTTATCGGGTCCTCTAATACCGGTAGAAGCAGTTTGCGTCTGACCCTGTCAAACAAGCATAACTGCCGCCTCGCAACCGGTCAGAATGCTGTCTCTTCGGTGAGGTCTAGAAACGTGAGCACTCTGTTAGGTTTTCTCACTTTTGGAAAGCGTCGATCTACCACGCATTCGAGTCACACTGCTGTTGGTTCCCTACGTCGTCAATTTGGCCCACCTTTGTCTCCTGAGCAACAACGTGTCACCGGATATGCAAGCAATTCTTCCGGTGGTGATTCCCCAGCTCAGGACCGATGGAATACTTCCAATGGCGTTTCATCGAACTCTTCCAGCCTCTGTCGCCCGACTGACCCAAGCTGCATGTTTGATATGAACGATTTAAGGTGGGCATCTACTATTCATTTTCTCGGTTATCTCACAAATCTGTGCTCATTGCGCCTGTAAGCGTTTGACAAATTGCTCCGTTTTATTTAGGCAGTGCATCTTTCAACGTTTACCGTTCTCGTCCTTGCCTAATCAGCGTTTTTGGATCACCCATGTGTCCTCGCTTCGGTGATGTACCCATTCTGGAGCCACTAGTGTGCCGGACCATGCATCAACACCGGCTGACCGATTTGGTTTTTCGCCGTAACACCGTACACGTTGTGTGTCAGCAAGGCCTAATCCGAAGCTGGTCGAGACCAGTAAGTCTCAAGGGCTCCGACTTTCGTCTCATGATTTCATTTCTTTTGATGCGAGAGTTTTGAACAGACATCCTGAGGGGTATGTGCTTCAGTGAAATTTCCTAGGACAGCGTCTGTCCGACCTGATGCCTAGAATCTTCAGCGTGTTCTGAACCAGTGCTCCACATTACTATACTGGTTTGATGATATCGTTGTGGTATGTAGCTAACATCCGACATTACGAAAACGCACCCCTCTACTTGTAATCCTACCTCATTTTGACTATCGCTAACACTGCTGGTCCGTGATATCTACTTACTCATCTGCTTTAATTATATGAGATGTCCGTGCCCGTCTATGGCGTGTGCCTCTTGTAAAATCATCGCGTATCTTTCCTTTTCTTGAAGCCTTTTGCACCGCATCGATACAATGTAATCACACTGTAAACGAAAGCTGACACATTTGATCAATGCCGTTAATAAACTAAACCCCCTCCGGGATCTGATAGACCCGTTACTGTCACTTCTTATGCCCGAACATTGGGTACATACATAGCAGTTTTTTCCTTTCCGCCTGGCAGCAGACATGCACTGTTTGCGTGTTCCTCGGCTTCTCTCCCATGTTTTCAAACAAATTGGAATCGGATGCTACATCCTTCACTCCACCATCCTAACCACATCACCCATCCTGTGTTTGGCTTGTGCGCAGGTTGTGTCGCCGCTACTTTTTCGCTCAGCAATACACTCATTGATCAGCCGATCACTTGCAAAGCACAATCGATTTTTGTCAATATGGTGGGTGTTGTTGATGCACATGGTGTGTTGTTATTTATCAGTGCGGTTTGTATTTAACCATCGCTATAATTTCCAACTGATAGAATCTTGACTCGTACACAACTAGACGGGTTGAAACGGGACGCACGGTGGTCGTGGAGACTACGAAGATGCAATGGACGCAGAATTTACGAAAACGAGTGCAGCTTCATGAGCAGTCACGCTCATAATTTCTGTATTTCAGAAACGTGTACCAGACACGCTTCTGAACCGTATAGCATCCACTCCTATTTACTTTATCTTGAGCTTTGGCCGTTACGGTTGTTATGAACCACTAGACCATTGGTCTCTCCCGTGGATCATTTCATGCTTGCTTTTCGACTCTTTCACTCTTCTCAGCCACATCGGTTTTCAGTCCACCCCACTCGGTAGCATATGTTTGAACCTCGAACACCCGCATCACCGCGAGGCATTGCGATTTACTTACCTAAAAGATGTTCTATAGTACCCAACATTATCCTACACTGTGTTGGCCTTCCAGATGGCGGGGCCTTTAAGTCGGCCATTGCATTTTTTGCCGGTCATTATCTACTGTGGATATGTCAGTTTTGCAAGAATAAGCTAACAGATTTTTGTTCAAACTATTTCCAAGTTCCTTTGTGTGTTTTGGTGTACCCGCCATTTGTCCTGGATTTTGACACGCAGTCTCAATGGTTACCACGGCTGACCTCGAAGCCACTCTATGCCATTCTGATCAATGGGACCGTGTCCGAAATGGAGGGTTTCGGTATTGCTCTCTCCCATCCCTGCACTCCACGACCGGTTTTCCATGGTCACTAATACCCTTCTACTATATCTACCTTTTGAATACAAAGCTGAGATATCGCGTACAAAATTTCAGGTCAAGTGAAACGAGTTAAATAGAAATCCTTTAATAAAATTGCTCATCTGATTGCATGCAAATCCCGAAGATTCGGTTCATCATTATGCAATGGTTGCTCTGGAAAGTCCGGCCGTTTACTGGAACGATCACAGCGTACCCTCCTTCTTTTATCTATCCATTTGTAAATGTTGCATTTTTAATGATGCAAATTTAGTATATTTACAGTTGATAGTGCGAAATACTGAAAGTGCGCCCACTTCTGCACATAAATCATTTTTGATTTGAGTTGTTATTCATTGTTTTGTTTCTTGCAAGCTTCTTGACCTCCTGAGCTAAAGGAGAGCTGCGTCTCAATGCTTTACAGCGAACACCGCAGTGCATTTATGTCCACTTTCTCTTTCTTGGACAAATCACCGCCCATCTGTCTCTGCGTGGCTAGTTATCTGGATTTTTTCGTGTGTTTCCTGATATCGATTTTCTTTCTCAATACCACTTCAGCTTTGTTTTCCACTCCTCCCTCATTGACACGCTTTTTTCTAGAGTTAGCAAATAGCATCTCGTATTCCTCTTCTTTAAAAGAGCTTTTGCATTACGCACTCTTACAGCAGCTGCGGACCAGTGCTTTTTCTTTTACTCGATGTGAATGACTATGCTTACCTTAGTGTCCTTTGTTCCGTCTGCTCTTGTGTATATTCTGAATGAGTACTTCTTTTTTTCGCGCAGTTTCATAGTAGTTATCATCGTTCTCGCACCTTTGGCCTTTCCGGCAGTTTAGCTAAGGTGCCCTCTTTTTAGGGCTCGGCGGAAACGTTCTCATTCTACTAATGCATGCACTTCTGTCACAACTGGACCTGTGTTTCTGCCTGTTGCTGTCACAAGTACTTCAACCTTTTGACTATGCTTTAGTGACGTTTTCCAACAGGTTTTTCGCTACTTTTTTGCGATTTATGCTTTTGTACCCTTGTAATCTTTCCTTCCTTCCTTATTCTCACTACTTTAGTCTCCCTCCAAAGAAGGCGACTATTTAGACGAACCGCTAATCGATGATCTCGGTGTTCCCTGTGCTATCGGACTCTCGGACACGGGTTCCTTTTATTCCAGTTCGGATCCACATTCAAAACGGATGGATGTTTCCCAAAGCAACCTCACCTCATTGACCTAATACAGATGTTTCACATAGCATATTACTTCTGGTTGGTCGCAGCCCCTTCTCACCCACATCTCGCAAAGTACGCCTCATCCGTACTCTTCATGCCTATTTCGATACCTCATTCTTGTCTTCGATGCGCTGTCACCCGTTCCCTTAGTAACCGGTTAACAATCGTCTCCAAACACCCGGGTAATCACAGTGTTAATATCCATTTCGTGAAATGTTTAGGTCATCTTTTTGCACATTGTCCCCCACGTGTTGCTTTATTCCTCGATGCATTTCGTTTTGATACCTCGTGTTCCTCACTTTAGAGTTTCTTGTTCTCCTGGTTATTTCCACGTGAACCTCTCGCATTACCGCATAGACGTTGACCTCTTCTGTGATGGGTGCTCACAGATGAGCGTGTTGTTCATTTGTTCGCTTATTTTTCCGTTATTTCCGAGAAGGAGACTTCTATTTTGTCCTTTCTCTCGATAATCTCATCTCTTCTTTTTGCGCTTGTGACTTGTTCGCATTTCTTACCATTCGCTCCCCGTGTCCTCACCTCCGCCACCTTTCGGCGCGTGATTTTGTGCGACTTCGATTCATTTGGACAGTGCGTTTTGGTTTCATGCTCTCTGCAGCAATTCGTTATTACCATGATACTTTCAAACCGATGGCTCTTACATTGTTCTCCTAGAGCCCATTCTTCGCTAGATTCTCGCTTACCTGTATCTTTCCGGTCCTTGTAAATTAATCATTTCCTACTGTGAAGTGCTTTTCTTGTTATTATGCTGTATCCTAAATGCACTCTCCTTGCGCTCTCTCTCCTGGACACCATGGCACAAAGTGTTTTTGCCAACCGACACACCGCCTTGATATGCATGCCTAGTGCTTATTTTACATCATTGATATTTGAGTGTCCTTAGCAATTTGCGCTCATTTTTACGAGATTTACTTCGTGTTACCTCCCGCAACCGTCATTTATGTGCCTGGTAATATGCAACCTGCATTATCCAGCTTCCAAATGACCAGTGACTGGAGGATTACGCGATTGTCTTGTAACCAGGAGGTCACCGGTTTGGATCCGCGTGGGGGCGGGCGTCCTCGCGGTATACCTATCCCACGCACTACCATTGGTACTCGCGTAGCAGCGAAGCGTCAGTACAATGCGCCGATGTACTGCTAATAGTCATTGCGCACTGCCCTATGCAAACTTCTGCATCGAATTGTATTTGCGCACTCTCCATAAGATTGGGCGGTATTGTCTTCGAATTTTTCCTTCTATGAGTTCTTCCTTGCGACTGTTTTGAGCGCTTTTTCTTGGCGTAACACTAAGTCCAATTTACACTTATTGTTTCCCGCACCGCTTCGAAATCCCGTATGGATGACGGCGATATTAAACTACGTGTCAATGGACCCTGTGTTCAAATGCTTCCATCGCGCCCTTTGAAGGTAGCGAGAAGCTCTATAGTGAATTAATTCATTTGTTCTAACATGCATTGTCTTATCCAGAGTAAGCAACTACTTATCCAAAGGGATATTTGCAGTTGTTGCGCCATGTTCACTAGTGTCGCATTTCCACTAGTGGTAATACGTTTTCGGGCCTCGATTCTTGTTTACCCCGGGTAACAGGAAGGTAAGTATAATTTCCAACTAACTTGGCCATATACTTCTGAAATTTGATTTTACCCAGCTTCATGGAACGATGTCACTCATATCTCTTCCTGATTGCAAAAACTTATTCCATACAGTCGGTCGCTTTGTTCGTTATTCCGGTTAACTAGAAAGACGTCCCTGCGATGTATATGAATTCTCTACGCGCCTTGCATTTGGTTGTCTGGCCCTAATTGATTAAGTCATGGTCCCTTATCCGGGTCTTGTCCTAGGATTGCCTTGTTACCACGATTCAGACGGATCGGATTCACGTTATACCGCAGCAACCATTGTTTCAGAGAGATTTGTGGACAATCGGTTGTTTTATTTAGTTGGCAACGTTTCGCTTTTGGCAAAACTTTTGTGTCAAAGCGAAACGTTGGTGATTAAATTAACCGACCGATTGTCCACAAATCTCTGAAATCATGACTTATTGCTCGATTCCAAGTATCTTCCAAGAGCTCATTGTGCGACCAGGTCGCAAGATATTTTAGTCCTGAACGACGATACGCTCAAGGCTGTCATGCATACTAGCAAGCTAAACACTAAAGCATCTACGCCAAGTGCAAACGACAAACTAGCTGACGGCCGGACCCCAGATATAAAACTTATCAAACCGTTGCTAAATAAAAAACGAGTCCTTTTAGAAGGAATGTTGTCCCAAGAAAAATTATGTCTTTAAGTATACCTACTCTATACAAAGTAAACGATACGCTGCGGATCTAACTTCAAAGGGGCGCCTGCTCTCTGGTATAGGACTCCAACTGTCGTCTGCAGATCACCTTGATCCACTGCTCCTCCGCCTATCAGATTCATCTGACATTGAATCGTTGTACTTCTAGTGTCACCCTGCGATGACTCATACCATTTAATGACCTAACCTTGACATCATCGAAAAACAATATAGTAAGACCTGCATATTTAGCGAAACACCCCATGACATCTTCTGCCCCACGTAGCTTTTCCGGTCACCAAAATGTGCAACTCATACGCATTAGCAGCAGTTTTTGACAACGGCTGGAATTTGCCGCTGCCACCCCTAGGGCCCAGTCTTGCCAGTCCAGGAGAGCATCACTTTTTCAATCAGTTTCTAAATCTAGCACAATCATGCCAGTCATACTGCGACCTCGGTACCCTAGGCAGTTTCTACCACTGCTCCCACCATGGCTACCAATGCATGCATCAACAATATCATACTCCAACTTATCCATCGCAATGAGGCTGGAACTTACCGTGGTGCGATGGTTTGCGTGCCTCAAAGATCCATTTAGCTATGCTGGGTGGTGGTTTTTTTTGCACCTTCAGAGCCACTCAGACCAGATTGGTCAATGGTTAGAGGCCAGACAAACTCAGCCTTCTAATCCTCCAGGTTGGGGGTTGGAATGAGGGTGGCTCCTTATTTCGTAAAACGGGCTATCTGTAGTACAGTGCCAAAACTCCGCTGCCTTACGGTAAGGTTTTGAACCAAAGGCTTTGGTTGAGAACCCTAATCGCTCTCTTGTCTTGGCCTGAGCAACCTGACAGTATTCTGCCCACGCAATACAATACAATGAACCCTTCATCAGACAATTTCTTGATGCTCTGGCCGTCGCAGAGGATAAGCAACGGTGTCCTATCTGCTGCATCGAGCAGGGTGGATATAGGTATGGATGCTGCTGCTCAGGCCTTCCCATCTTCTTACCCCTTGCGCTTCTTCATCCTTATCGTCCCGCTCCAATTTTACTTTTATCCCCCCATTTTCAGTCCACCAATTTTGGACCCTCCCCCAGCTTGCTTCAGTAGTCGCTTGTCTTTTAATTTTAACTCACAGTCGCAGGGTGTCGCTCCAATCCAGTCGACAAGTCCATGTTCAACCAAGCGGACGTCAGTCCACCCGTTTACCTTTGGAGTCCTCGCATCTCGGTGAGACTGGCATGCCTCAGCATGCGCACTTTGCTACAGGTTGGCCAACAGGCAGCACTTGCCCGCGCATTAGAAACCCTATCGATCGATATTTGCTGTTTATCAGAAACCCGCCATCAAGATTCGAGCTCCGTGCTTACCCTGCGATCCCCCACCTGCGACACTGGCGGCACATTCTCACTGCGCCTGTCTGGCGATAATGAAGCTTTCAATGCCGGTCAAGCTGGCGTCGGCATAGTGTTGAGTCCCCGATGTGAAACTGCCCTGACCGTTTGGATTCCATTAAACAGGAGAATGTGCGCCCTTAGATCAGCTGGTTCGTTCCATGCTACGAAGTCGCACGGGAACTAACGGAGCCTGTTTGTGATTGCGGCTTACGCCCACACGAACTTAGCATTGATTCGGCAAAAGATGATTTCTATCGGCAACTTCACGATCTCCTTCGTTACAGAAGAAGCACTGATACTGTGGTGTTGGTTGGCGATCTAAACGCCCAAGTCAGAAAATTGTCCTCTGATGAGCTTCATCTGGGCGGTCAACATGGTGTAGACTCCCGTAATGATAGCGGTGAGCGATTGCTACAACTGTGTGATGATGTTCGCCTCTCTCTCGCGAGCACTAACTTTCGACACAGCACCCGCAGAAACGTGACTTGGCGGTCACAAGCCTCGGGCCAGACATGGACGCAAGTCCTTCATATCGCGATCAGTTACCTGTTGCGGGCTCGTCAAAAATCCCCGCAAAAACGCTCCAGAAACCCCGGCAGAATGGCTGTGGGAAGCGGGGTCCAATTCCTCCCCACAACTTAGCAGTGATCGGCCACTCCGAGACGCGGCCCAACTACGCACCTTTTGACAATGGCCTTTTACAAACTATCACCTCGTCATGGTAGAAATTTTCCCTTACTTAATGACCCATAGCATTGGCTGTGATTCGCCCTTTGTTGGTCGTAAATGAGCCTACAGAGGACCGCTTGTCTTTCTTTCCTCTTCGCCCTACTTGGGAGTCAGTCGTGTCACGTGATTGCATGTGAGTCGTTAGCTGGCCAGCCTTCGCGTCTAAGTTTTTAGCGCGCGTTTATCTTAACCCCCTCTCGTGTGCGTCCGTTCCGAATGCTCAGCGTCTATCCGGACACGTGCGGCTAGGATCGTTCACACGCTCGCTCATCTTCCGTCTCACCGGCTAAGCTAACACCACCAGGTTAGCGTAACTCCGTTCGATTGGCCAACGTTACAAGCCGTTATCGTGGGCTTGCTCTCAATCGTGCCAGTGACAATCTTATCATACAAATAGCAATCATATCAAGAGGCGTCCCCTCAATTATAATATTACCGCTGGAAAGGCTATGTCCGAAACCGTCGCTCGATTTGGAGCACGAGCGTGGACCCTGACCACGCATTTGTCTGCGCCGACCGCCGGGTGCGTTTCTGTGGACGTCCGCAACGTCGATTTGAACGGATTGACACCAGCCAGCTGGCGAAGCTAAGTGTTCTGAAAGTGTATCAAAGTGCGCTGACATCTGGGCTGAGTAAGCGTTTACTAAACACCGTCGTAGATCACTGGTCTCATATTCGTCAAATGTTACTGTTAGCAGGCATGTCTACATGTGGCAAAGCAACTTGCCAAACCGGACATTGGGTCTACACAGTCTCTAGAAGATATGGATGCTCGCCGACGTATTCCGGCTGGAAGCGAACACAATGAGGCTCGCAAAAATGTCAGGACAAAACTATTTGCTAACCTGAAGAAAGACCGCGAAACCTGGTGGTCTCATCATGCCTCTGAGATGAAAACAGCCGCTACCGTTGGCTATCATCGTAACTTATTCCGTCTGATACGGGAAACAGGCAGCAGGAGACCTGGTTTTAGCGAGACCATACGCGAGGAGAGTGGGCAGCTGGTCCACCGTCTGTCAAAACGCTTGGAGCGTTGGGCTGAACACGTTGCAAGGCAATTTAACCAACCTGAGTTACCGGTTTTTTTTCGGGCATTGAACGCCCTTCTCCCTGGGCTGTCTCCTTGGACCAGCCCTCACGCGCAGAAGTCGAAAGTGAGATCAGGCTGTTGAAATTGTCTAAGGCCGCAGAGGCAGATAGAATTCCCACAGCCTTCTTCAAATTCGGGGACCTGCTCTAGTAGATGATTTACACGAGTTGCTAGTAAAACTTTGGGAGCAGGAGACTGTCCCGACAGACGGGAACCGCTCCGTCATTGTCCTCGTTTTCAAGGGAAATCATAGAGGGATCAGTCTGATTTCGATTTCCTCTAAATTGCTCACCTCTC